ATGATTAAAGACAAGAAGCAGAGCAGGAGAGAGTAGTTGCAGCAGGTCTGCTTCACAGTACGACATGGCTGAGAGCTCCCCGTATTAAAATACTTTCCATTTTAGACCACTAGCTTTCTACCGTCACACATGCAAGACTCACCTAAAATGAATTCCATTTTGGTGACATTTTTTATTACAGTTCCACCCTTTCCTTCTCATGCCACAAGAATGACTGATGCCAGAACAGCCTAAGCTGAACCTCACACTGATCACAACAAGCACGTTGAATCAGCCTTGTAGCTAAGGGAAGCAAGGAGACCATTACCATGAGAGTAGCAGATACTTCAACAAGGCACCCTGCCTCCACCAGATGCACCAGGAATCCTCAGAAAACCTCAGAAAAACAGGGCTTTCAGTTGGTAAGAACCAACACCACCAGTTTATCCTCGCAAAACAAGGGGCCTCTTTCCATTTCCTTTCAGCGCCAGCACCTACCTGCATGGGCACACACAACCACTCATGTTAACCGAGATGCTAACCCTGCTATAGATGCTGAACTTTCCAACTTGCGTATCATGCTCCTCCCTGTTCCCTTAGAATAACCACAGCCAAAAGAGCAGCAAAAGCTGGTCACTTAAATTGAGGAAAACTAAGGGGAAAAAAAGTAGAGACAGAGGTCTCGTCTCTCGTCAGTGGCTACAGGCAATAGCCCCCAAGCCCCAGCATGACGATGGCTTGGTTTCCTACAGGATTGCATCCCTCTGGTTCCAGCACATCAAAGTAGGTCTTCCAGATGAAGGTCTTCATCACATGGAAGTAACCATGCTCTGCTGTTGTTTATTTAGCCCCTAGCACATCACACAGCCCCACGGTCACGGTGCAGGCTTTCCTCCTGCCCCAGCTGTCCCACACTGCCCTGGTGGCAGCCCATGTCCCCTCCCTGCACATCCCGGTGGCCTGAGCCACTGCACAGCCCTCTGGCTGCCTCTCTGCACTGCACACAGGGACCTCATTGGATTTAGGACCACCACCCCAGGGCAGGGGAAGCCTGTCTCCAGTCCTGTTGCAACACTACAAGCCATTTCTAGACCTCCATATCCCTCCCTTTTTCCACCTAAGATCCAGCAAGAGCAGAACCACCACGTTCCACCTATGCATCCCAAACCAGATGAGTTCTTGCATTATGAAACCCTGACAGCCCCCTCCATCAATCTGTGCAGCCCTTTTCTGAACCCACAGAAACATACAGCACTTATATCATGCATGGATGCAGAGCCCAGAGCTGAATTCGCCATGTGAGACACAAAATGTCTTGTTCAGGTGCGTGTCTACCATCTGCTCTTGCCACTGCTTCTTCCAGGTTTGTAGTGGAAGAGACAGCAGTCGCACCCACACTCCCTCACCATGAAGTTTCCAGGCTTCCATCACACCCTGCCTTGCTGCCTTCCCCCAGCTGAAGAGCCCGGGGCTTTTGCTTTAGGAACAACTAAACAGGCACCCCAGGCCTCTGAGCAGCCTTGCTGCCTTTCTCTGAACCTTTGCTGGTCTGCTACATTTTTCTGAGATGAGAGGACCAGGGCCACACATAGCATCAAATAGCTGCATGCACCATGGATTTGTTTATGGAGCATAACAACGCTCTCCAGGTCATTCTCTTTTCCTCCTACTTCCCAACAGCCGATTTGCTTTTTTGACCAGTGTTAAGCTCCAAGCTGACATCTTCTAAAATCTAACCGCATTTCAAGCTCTTCCTCAGACTAGATTTTAATTGGAAGAGACGAGACCTGTAGAATGAAGCACAGTAAAAATTCAGTACACAGGGGGTATTTTTCATTTGCCACTATCAGCTGATTTTACAGGTACTCCAAATAATTCAGTGAATTCAAAATGTCACCTCTCTGCCTCCTGCCCAAGCTGCCCTGACTGTCTTTGTTAGAACCCCACAGTTCAGGCAGCCTTTCCCCCCACTGCACCCAAGGCCCACACTTACACATCTCCCCCCACTCCCATCCTTCTGAAGGCTGCTTTGAATGAAGACAGGGCAACTTGAAACCTGCCTTAGGAACTAGGAACATGAGAAGGCAGTCATCCTCTCCGACAACAAAGCTGAACACAAACCCTGAGAAAAAAGTCTGTCCAGGCCAGGCTGGGAGAGAGGAAGGAACTACACAAGCGTGTCAAACAGGCAGAGGATGGACAAAGCAGGGAACCAGAAAGTACATCCTAGGCATAGAAGGCAAAGAGGGAGGCCAAGGAACCCAAGAGAAGTAGCCAGCTAAAGATGCACCATCATAGTCATCTACTCATCCCAGTTAGAGAAGGACAATGAAACAAGACAGAGAGGAAAGGGAGCTCCACAGCTCTCCAAGTCTTCCAGGCAGCCCCACAGGAGCAGGCTTGGCTGGCTCTTCCCCCTACACCACCAACTCAAAATGGTCTAGGAACAATTGCTCCCCCTGCACCACACTCTGAGGAGACCAGGCTTTCCAGGTCCCTTCCGCTGATCCAGCTAGCCACTATCCTCTCTTAAACAGTGAGGGAGTGTGCTGACAGGTGGAGCTGCAAGCCAACATCACCACCTCTTCTTCCTCACTTTTCCGGCAACAAGCAATCTCTCAACCCCACATATCCTTCTGGGCCAGCTCCACATCTGACAGTTTCAGAATTAGCAGAGAGCACTCCAGCTCACATAGCTTTGGTGCTCAGGCTCTGTCAAGACAAAAGTTGGGTCCCCCAGTTCAAGCACAAAGCCAAAAGACGCAAGCCCAAGTGGAGAAAAGAACAGAGGCAGAATAGTAGTAGGAAGGGCAAACGTTTTACCTGGAAAAGTCTTATGCAGATACCTTCAACCAAGCTGCAATGCCATGGAAGCACAGCCATGGAGTGAGATGCTGGCTTCCGGAAAACTACACCTCCAAAAGCAGAGGGATGCAGGGTCTAAGGAAGAGCGATAACAGAGCCAAAACCCGTAGTTGCCAGCTGGGCTTGGTAACCCAGCAGAGTGTTTTCTGCCAGGTCCAAGCCCTGTAACAGATCCCTTGTTTCACTCATGCCCTGCAGGCCTCTCTAAGCGTACAATGAAGTTTTCCTGGCTGATCCTACAGTGTCACAGCACAAGGCCGGATTGCACCACAAAACACAGAGATACCAGCAATCTTAGATAATGTGATAATCTTAGGTAACGTGAGGCACACATGCACAGAGGACAAATATACCAGCTTTCTCAACTGCTACGTGGCATCCTTGACAGAAAAAAATCTTCTTCAGCTGTGAAAAGCACAGGAGAGAGAGAGTAAGCCTACCTACAGTCTGCCCACTTGACCTTCTTAGAGCTTGAAAAGCAAGTGGGAGAGAAACGCTTTTTTGTCTTGCTATTAAATCTTAAAATAACAATGTGTAGGAGAATCCTACCCTCCTGTCCTGTGCACTGAGCTAAGGGGAGATGGGAGGAAGGGAGAGGGGGCAGGGTTGGAGTCAAGTTGAATTTCCTGCTGAACAGGCTCCCAGCTGACCAGAGATCCCAGGAGACAGAGCAGGTCTGCCTAGAATTTCTTTTCTAACTCCAGGGTTTCTGTCATTGTATGCACAGCCCAGTTACAGTTCACTGAATTAACACAAAAAAAATGAATTGATTTCCATAATGAAAAAGCCTCCACATGGCTCCAGAGTGATACAAGAAAGGGCACAGCAGCTTGGGAAGATTTTTAAAAAAAAAAAGAAAAAAAATCACTTTTTGCCTCATGGAATTGCAGTTTTGAGCCCCCAAATGAAAAGCTATTTTTAGCTGATCATCTGGAAAGTGCGAGGGAGCACAAAGCATTCAGGTCAGCATCACTGTCTGCAGGAAGCCAGCACGCAGCCTCAAGAGAGGGTTAAACATAGGCAGGCACTGCACATCTGCATCATCAGCACTGCACAGGGACCAGCAGCATAGGTCTATTTATAAACCAGACATGTACAGCTGTAGCCTGCAATGAAAGACTAGGATTGCAGGCTGTCAGCCTTCAACAACATGCTGTCTAATTTAATTAAAGAGATTGCTATGCTTACACGCACACACACATGCACACATGGCCTTTTCCCAGGAGAGTTACGAACAATGAGCTCAGTGTTTTGAGAACAATACATTTCACAAAGGTTTCTGTGCAGAGGGCAAGCATCTCCAGCAAATGTGTCTTCACACACCCTTCCTGCTCCCTCACTCTGTGACCAGATGTGACTGATGGGCTATGGCTGCTACCGCTCACCACTGCTCAGGTAACCACTATCGCTCAGGTGGTTACTGGGTTGGTTTGTAGCCCTGGACACGAAAACAAAGTTACTGTAACAGTATTAATCTGCATAGGGAAAAGAAATTAATTTATTTTGCAAACAAGGTATTTGGGTGTCACACGCATCTTCTGCACCAGGACAGATTGCTGTGCCATCCGTTTCCATTTAGAGAGGTGAAACCCCGTTTCAGATACAAAGCTCTGCCTGCCACTAAGCAGCTAGGGGGAGCCATTTCCTCGTTGTGGGACTGGAAAACAAACGCCTCTGCCAGCTCCTCCCTGTTCCCCCTCACGCCCCATACTCCCTGGTGAGCTGGACTCTCCTGCCCAGGAGTCCTTGAGCCAGGGCAAGGACCTAGCAACAGCAAAGGAGAGGAGACGACAGCTGGCTGCAATCAGGCTGCCGGGGATAAAGCACTGTTGAGGCACAACAAGCAACTTGCTTACAAAATATATGGGTACAAATGGCAGCTGCTGGTGGGGGCTCCAGCTGCACAGCACTGCTCAGCAGCCATCAGGTAACCTGAAGCTAGTTTCCCACCGAAGGAGCACTAAGCACATACATGCCTCTCTGCCTCCTCCAACCCCAAACAGAAACCACTTTTGAAAGCCCCTGCAGGAGGAACACGGGAAGCTGTGTTTGGGTTCAGTTCTCCTGGGCTTGTTCCGACAGCCACTGCAAATACAGTCCCCCAGTGTCTTTGCTCAAAACCTAACGTGGCGCTCATTCAAAATACAACAACAAACCTGTTCTGGAGGAGATGATGCTTCTGGAGTCCAAGTCAAGCTTCCTTACTAGAGTACCAGGGTCAATCTCCAGCCCCGAGAAGACATTAGAAGACGGGAAGTTCCAGTCCTTATCCAAAAGAAACATTAAGCAGCAGTCAGTACAAACACCATCAGGCAACGTTCATTAAAAAAAAAAAAAAAATTAAACCCAGCACCAGCCAGATGGGAGCAGGATGCACGCTCCAGCGGCAGCCTGCAGGTGCCTCTCCTGAGCAGGCAGGGTTAGGTAAGTCACCCCACTGGCCTGGCCCCCCCAGGCTCTTCCACCCGGAAGGAATTTTCACAGTCACATTTTGGACTGTTCTATTCCCAACAGACTTCCACCTCAACCCAACCTTGCCTCACTCAAGTGAATTCAGGTATTACTCCTAAAAGAACTGTGAATGGCGTCCTTAGGAAAAGCCAGATTTATTACAGGTACATAACAATACAGATAAGCAACAAATGAGCACATTAGGGGCTAAATCCTAAATCGATGGATGTTAAGCAGATTCAGTGACTACTAGCAACTTACTAAATCTTCAGCATCTATTTCCTTTAAGCATGCAATACCCTAAGTTCTAAGCTTTGCAGTAGCTTCTCTAGTTGGCTTAGAACTTATTATGTTGGCCAGCAGTATCTCCCAGCACCAACACATAACTTCATACTGGTATAAAACCAGCATATATGGCACAGCCTATTCCCCCCTCCTCACAAGGAAGGGCAGGCATATAAAAACCATTTACTGCTCTTCTGTGTCCTTGCTGTGAGGGGGCTGGGGGAGACACCCAGCTTTAACCTGAACTGCGTATTAATAAGACAGCTGGTGAAACCAGACACGGTCTAAGTCTCCTAAACGACTGCATGTAAACTGACAGCTCATTTCCACCTGTCCTAACCTGAAATAGAAAAGAATGACTGCCAAACGAGCCAGTTACCGCTCCGCTCCCGACACTTGCTGACAACAATCCCCACTACTGCATCCAAGTCACCCCACCGAGATGCAGCGCAGGCACCCTCTCCCCCCAGCAGCGGTAGCAGCCCTGGTGCCTGTCACCGCCACCTCCCTAAGCAGGCTCTCCTCTCTGCGTCCTAAAGGCCTGGGGATGCTGTGGCGCCTGTCGTAGCGTGGCTGCCATAGCTGGCACTATGCGGTAGTTCCATCATGGTGGCCGACGGTTTGGAGCGGCACTAGCCACCACCAGAGAGGCACGCCGGGACTCCCGGGTGCACCGGCAGGACCTCACACTGGAGTGCCGAAGGCCCAGGCTCCCTCGTTTCACCTCCCTGCCGGCCCTGGCGAGCCGTGCCCTTGCGGGCATACTCCCGCTGGCGGTACGCGGCCTGAGAGACGAGCAGCGGCAGCCCGGGAAGGGGCGCCACAGCGAGCTCCGGGCCGCGAGAACCGCAACGAGGGCGGAACGGGCCTTTCCTCAGCAGGACGGGGAGGCCGGCCGGCCGGCCTTCAGGACGCCGTGTCACCCCACCTCCCGCCCCTCTCAGACCCTGTCGGCGTCGCCGTGCCCAGGACCGAGGGGGGTCCTGCGGCCCCGCCAGGGCCCTGCGCCCGCGACGCCCACCGCCTGGGTGGGACTCCGCGGCGTCCCAAGCGCTGGGCAGACCGGGCAGGGCTGGGACCGCCCAGGGACCGAGCGCCGACCCTCGCCACCGGCGGCGCAGCC